AGGAGGGAGGAGGAGAGAGAGAGAGAGAGAGAGAGAGCGAGAGAGAGAGCGAAGAATGAATGTCGAGACGCATGGGTGAGGAGATCCTCACCGCTTCTGTCGACAAGAATCGGTTGGCTCCTCGATCGCATTTTTTTCTCGGAGTGACAAGAACGCCCTTATGTCGGAGAAGAGAACGAAGAATATTGCTTTGGAAGAAGGAAGCTCGGCGATACGTCGCTTTTCTTTCGTCAACCGGGACGCTGCCGGTGCCACTTCCGCTTCCTCGAGACTGTCCCGTAAATCGGAGGAGATTGAAGGATAAAAAATGCATACTCGCGTGTACCATTCACCGCTGAAATGCGCAATGAAGAGAAATGCTATTTTGTGTTTCGATATTTATTCATAATGAAATTAGTAGTATATTAAGTAAATTGGGACAGTTTATTTACAACGAAATGGAGAATTACTGCAAAACGAAATAACATTCTGCCACTGCTTTTTCGTCTTTTTGAATTTATACATGAAATGCGGTGGAAAAAATATAGATTTATTACTTTTATGTTACTATATTTTTTAATCTCTAACATCATCTCTAACATCTCTTTTAATTCTTATTAAGTTTTACAAAGAGATACAAAGAGATTACACTAGCTTGCGATATTATTCTTTTTAAACATTTTTATGTAACAAGTTTTTCCATATTTATTTTGCTTATCGTAATAGATAAATCTTCAAATCAATCTTCAAATGTGCAATACAGCAGTGGATGATATTGCGCGCCGCAAATAAAATTATCTCGATGAATTCTGAAAGAGAAACGATAAACTCGGGGGCAGTCTCATGCGTTAGCGAAGCCGCACCCAATCAACCACCCTTAGTCACATCTCTGAAACCGCACCACTGCATACTTCACATCCAAGAAAATATAAAAAAAAAAAATCAAAGAAATCAGACAACATCTCAACATCTCAACATCATCAAAAACAGACAAAAAAAAAGAAATTAAATCGCGAGATCGCGCTAGAGAGACACGACAGAGAAAAGAAACAGCGGCGCGAAAAAGAATCGACGACTTGTAACCGTCTTCCCCGTTTGTTGCTTCTGTTGTATCAGGAGCTCAAAGCGACGAACGAGAGCCTGAAGAGCCTGCAGACGCAGCTGGAGCTCGCATATGCCTCGACCGCGTCCTCGGGACAGCCGGTGGCCGGCGGCGGCATCATCGGCGGATTGGCGGGCGCATCGGTCATCGGATTAGGTAGCGTATCGGGGGATGCAGGTGCTGGGGGCTGCGGCGGCGGTACCGTCCTCGGAGGTAGCGTGGCGGTTCCAGGCGGCGTGCCCGGTAGCACCACCCTGACCGCTATCATGGAGACGAAAGACGCGCGCATAACAACCCTGGAGAAGGAGGTGGCGTTGCTGGAGGCCGAGCTGCAGCGTATTAAGGAATGCGGCGGTAGGCTGCGGGAGCAACTGCTGAAGGCCACTGCTGTGCCAAGCAGCGGCGGTACTATACAGCAGCAACAGCAACAGCAACTGGGTATGACGCAGCCGACCGGCCTGGGTGGTCAGCAACAGCCCGGCACGTTGGCCCTGGCCAGGGGACCGTCCATGATGACCTCGCTGGTACCGTACGGTGGCCACGCGTCGTCCGCGGCACTAACCAGTTCGTTGCTTGCCGGTTCGACAGGTGGGCCTACCACCGGGAGTGGCGGCGGGTTGGGCGTCGGTGGCGGTTCCTCGTGCCTAGCTGGCATCTCGTCGGGCACCACCACAGGCGTGGTCAACCCGTATACCGATCGCTACGGTACCGATCATCATCCCCATCAGATGCATCATCATCAGCATCACCATCACCACCATCTTCACCAGCAGCAGCAGCAGCAGCATCAGCTGCAGCTGCAGCAGCAGCAGCAGCAAATGCAGCAGCATTTGAAACAAATAGAGCCAGCGGCGGCTGGCGCCCTCGCGCTGCACGCTCACACCTTCAACAAGCACGACCTGAACTTCAAACGGCAAGTAAGTTTCTTCATCAACAACGTGCGCATCGAAAAGAACGACGCCGTCTAGGCCGACATCTGGGACGGCGCGGGAGGACGGAAATTTCTTCTCCAGTCACAGGTACACGAGGATCACGATCGAGTCTTCGTCGTCGTCGTCATCGTCGTTGTGTTTATCGTCGTTGTCGTCGTCCTCATCGTCTTGTCGTCGTCGTCGTTGTCGTCGTCGTCGTCGTCGTCGTCGTCGTCGTCGTCGTCGTCTAGTTCGTCGTCGTCGTCGTCGTCGTCGTCGTCGTCGTCGTCGTCGTCGTCGTCGTCGTCGTACGTCGTACTACGTCGTTCGGTTCGACTTGTTCGTATCGTTGTCGTCGTCGTCTCTGGTCGTCGTCGTCCTCGTTGTCGTCGTCATCTCGTCATTGTAGTTCTCGTCGACAGTTCGAGAGCAAGATGGGACAGTGATGAGCGGTTCGAAAGAAGAGAGAGAGAGAGAGTAGCAGAGAAAAATCTGTTGTTCTCATCGAAGGCGACTATCCAAAAGGAGGAAAATGAGTGTCTTCGGGGAAGAAGCTAGATCGCTCAAAAATGCGATCTAGGTGACAGAAGGTCGAAGAAAATGGCGTACGTAGTACGTAGGATGACTTCTCTGTTGAAGGGGAAAGGATGCTGAAGAGATGGTGCCGAGATGCAAGAGCGAGTCGCCAAAACGGCAATATCCGCGCTCAAAGATCTTTCGATTCCCTTCGTCTTCTTCTCCGAAACATCGCGTATTACGCACGTATGAGACGGGAGTTCGTGAGAACTAAAACGACGACGCGGAAGATGAACGATCTCGGACCTCGCGACACGATGTCCCTGCTGACCCTACGTCACAACTGCGTTCTGTAAAGTTAGATTTTTATTACCAGACGATGACTAGGGAACATGTTTGTTGGTACTAAGACAGTTTTCATTGAATCTTTATATTATTTTTATTCGACTATTAGTTTAGATATTTACAACTTTTAAGCAAAATGCCAATCAAATTTTCGACACAAAATCTATTTAAAATTTCTTATTTGAGAACACAAGTAATCACTTAAATATATTAGAATATTTGAAGATAAAATTATAAAAGATTTTTTTATAATTAATTAATTAAATTTATTCTGATTTGTTACAACTGTCGAGGAATGAAATTCTGGAAATATTTTTTATTAATGGCATTGCAGATCTCATTGTTTAAAATTAAAAATATTATAGTTTTATAATATGATACAAATTAAGTAAAAATTAAATATTACAATTTAAAGAATCTGTGAGACAAATTACAACTGTTTTAAAAAAAATCTCTTCAAAAAGAGATACTTGATACTAGTGCCTATTTTCTGATTTTTTTTTCAAAAATATTCGTCTTCCTATTTCGTGTGAGTCATCATATGAAATAAAAAGAAAGGAACACGTAAGGGAAAAAAAGTAAAAGAGGATGAGAAAAAGATTAAACGTAGCGATGTTATAATAAGAAAGAAAGATGTGTCTTCTGTAAAATCAATGAACCAGTTACATTAATTTCAAGGCTGAATTCGATATTGAATCGAGCGATACTTGCACGCAGTGCATCTAAATGGTAGAACATGTGGAACGGTGACGCGAACATCTAGTTTTAAATAGAATCTTTAGCTGTAAATAGAAATCATTTAGGTATAGAGTCTGTCGCACGAACATTTCCCTGAACAAAGTAGTGTGTTGCTCTCTAGTGTATGCCGCTCTCGAGTAGGCGAGCCCGAAAGACATCTACTCACGCGTTAATTTAAATGCGAACGAACTTGCAAACTTCGGATTTGAACTTTGCAAATTGCGTTCCGCTCGACACGAGCGAGCGACTCGACGCGGGCAAGTTATCCACCTAGGTTGGTGGAAAATATCTCGTCGCGAGCGACGATCGGCCTAGCGTTTATCCCCGACCTTCGCGTTATCAGATTTTCATTTAGCGTCGTCGCTAAACTTTCCCGTCTTCCTTCCTGGAGGAATCCTAGAAGCTATTAGCGTGGATTTAGAGTAACGTAAAATAAGCGATATCACCATAAGTGTATCCCGTAGCGTCGGCCCGCGAAACGGACTGAGATCGTTTTACTTCTCACCGACTCCCGTCGACCCGCACACGTGCACCACCATACAACATTTTAACGCCGTACCTGCTTTTCTTTGTCACCCCGACATCCTTTTTCTCGTCACGCGACATCCCGAAATTCAGAGTTCTCTATTTTTTGACTCGATTGTACTTAGATTGTACTTAGATATACAGGGTGAGTTCTAGATGATAGACATGTAAGTGCAGAGTGTTACGTGAAAAGCTTCATGATGGGAAAGCACGCGCGTTTCGTGAACGAAACGGCATCTCGACAGTGATGGACTTTTTTATGATAAGAATTTCTTAATAATTACATACTATCATTTGCCATTACCATTCACATTAAAGTGTAAACGCTACAACGTATCCTTAAACAGAATCTTAAAATCAAAGTTACAT